GGCGCACCGGTAAAAATAAATAAATAAATAGAGAGGGAGAGAAAAAAGATCAATTAAAATCAAAGCTGTCAGTCTGCGTCGTCTCTAAGAAAATGCTACAAAAAACCTGAGAGATAGAGACAGAGAGCCGCCGGCACGATAAAAAAAAAAAAAAAAAAAAAAGAATCCAGCAGACATGAAACCCAAACGCACCGCCGGCTGAAATGAATCCACGGAACCACGAGCGAAATGTAAAAGAACCGACGTGCGGCTCTGCCTTTACCTGTCAGGACTCCGACCCGGATTTGGTGGTCGTGGTTCGTTAAAATCATCCCGTCTGACGCCATGTTCAGCAGCGCTGTCGCCCGCACCGACAACTCACGGACGCCAGGGCCCAGAACCGAGCTCATCGAACTTACAGGAGGGAGGGAGGAGAACCGGGGAAACGGCATCCAGAACCACTCAGACCAGATGAGTCGAGCGCCGAGTGATCGTCTGAGCCGGGCCGGATGCGGTAGCCGTTTAAACCGCACGCGTCACGCAGCTGGACACCTGCCACCATAGTAGCGCGGAGCCGTGAATAATTATATTTATCGAGGAAGCTTTTAGAACAGAATCACACTTCCACACGCACACACATCTCTGATCTGGAGAGATACGGTTTTAAAACGTCTACATAAAATGCTGGGGTTAACCCTGGTTGCCTGTTAGCAAAATATCTTATGAACAGCTGGGTGGATTTTAATGACACTTTAAGGAAATCATCATTAGGCGCACATGTACAACTGATTAACTTTTGGAGTCCCCTTAATTCATGGTAGCACCATAGATAATTGACATTAGCCAGCACTAAAATGTCTATAACTCTGTCAATATCACAGATATTGAGCTATAGTGTGGTAGTAGCCGAGTGTCATTCACACATAATCTGAGCACTACACATTGCACAACATGTTTGCTTAAAATTTGGCATAAACTGTAGAGTCAACAATGTTTGTCTGTTAGCAAAATACCTCATAAGCAGGGGCAGTTTTCAGTGAAACTCTTATGAAGTAAAAATTTGATGTGCATCTACAACTCGTCATTGTTTGAAGTCCAACCCCGTTCAATATGGCCACCGCAGCTAACTGACATTAAGACAAAAGTGGCTATAACTCGTCAGTTTCAAAGATGTTGAGCTCATTTTAGTGTGGTAGTAAATGCGAGTCGTCCTCAACACATTCTGGGATTACTAACACATCCTTCGAGACCTCACAATTTTAAACGAGATTGCACAGAATGTCAATCACAAGGGTTGCCCAAATGAGCCTTAACTCCGTCTCTTCTCAGTAGATGACTTTAGTATAAAGTGCATAAAAGGCAGATGGGTAATATGCAATTTTTCAAGAAATACTAGTAAAACTTTCTTGATCAAGAAAGCTTTAAGAATTTTTTAAGCCTTTCTCTACAACTTAATGCACAACTTTAATGCTTTAACCTGGGTATAACCTCTCCACTCCAAGTCTTTTCCACAAATGTATCCAGCTTTCTCAGTGCAGAGGCTTTAAAGATTGCAGTCTGACCTGTAAAAATGCAACCCTTCATCCCCGGGCAAAACAGACATCCTGATGCTATTTATAGACGAGAGCTGCATGCTTCCATAGTGCATGATTTCTCTTGTTTATTCTCTTTGACAAAAAGGCTTATCTTTCAGCATCTGTTTGTAATCAATCAATATGCATAATTCATATGCATGAGCAGGCTTGCAAACATTGTTAAAGTAGCAAGAAAAAAGCAACTCTTCCAATACTGCTAAGGTTGACTTAAGCTGTGGCCATGTCCAGTGACCTGCAACTAAAACAAATGACACCATTTTTACAATTTCTATAGAAGTTTCCTGATGCATGCTCAATAATCCAGGTAGAAAAATCTAAAAAAGTTAAATCTGGTCCTCTGGACATTCAAAAAAAAAACCCCAAAAAACAAAGTAAATCAACAAAAAAATGTAGAAACGTTTTGTCTCTCATCCGAGAAACTTCCTCAGTCTGAGGAGCTGTATTCAGCTCAGTCTCTTAAATAGCACCTTCTCAGAGTGGATCAACCAGTTTTGCTGCTGACAACCAAAACCAGCTGATCACATGCTCAAGAAGGACCATCAGCCTAACAATGGATCATTAGCACACTGATGGCTGTTTACTGTTCACAGAGGGCTGAGTGATACTAGCAATCACAGCATTGTAAGAGGAGGACAGTTGAACCCGGAGGCCTCCACCCCTGTTTAACGATGGACGATTTCTTTTCACAAAGATGGCCTCCTTTACTCCTCTCTCAAACCATCGTTCCTCTCTGTCCAGGATGTGAACATCTTCATCCCTGAAAGAGTGACCGCTGGCCTGGAGATGAGTGTAGACCGCAGAATCCTGGCCTGATGATGTTGATCTTCTGTGCTGGGCCATCCTTTTGGCCAGTGGCTGTTTAGTTTCCCCGATGTAAGACTGATCACAGCCCTCCTGACACTGAACAGCATACACAACATTACTCTGTTTGTGCCGGGGGACTGGATCTTTGGGATGAACCAGTCTTTGCCGTAATGTATTTTGGGGTTTAAAAGCCACTGGGACGTTATGTTTAGAAAATAAACGTCTCAGTTTCTCTGATACTCCCTCAACATATGGAATGACCACTGGTCTGGGT